AGAATCACAAATGGACGAGTTAATTCCATTTTATTGTAAAACTATACAGTTAGTCCTTGACTTATGACCACAAATGAGCCCAAAATTTATGTTGTTAAGCGAAACATAACTTGTTAAGTGAGTTTTGCCGCATGTCATGACCTTTCTTGCCATAGTTGTTAAGTGAATCATTGCAGCTGTTAACTTAGTAACCTAGTTGTTAAGCGAATCTGGCTTCCCCATTGACTTTATCAGAAGGTCACAAAAGGTGATCACATGACCTGGCAACCCCCGTAAATGCGAGTCTGTTGCCAAGCTTCTGAATGTTCATCATGTGACCACGGGGATGCTGCAACGGTTGTTAGTGTGAAAAATGGTCATAAGTCCCTTTTTTCAGTGCTGTTTTAACTTAGAATGGTCACTAAATGAACTATTGTAAGTAGAGGACTACCTGTATTGACAGAATCTTGCTAGTCTGAAAGTACAATCTCTCTTCCTCACTCCCAACTCCCATTTCCTATAGCCTGAGAAACTAGGGAGGTTTCTTCTGAGCCTCTTCCTCCACCCACTATCCAGTTGTGGGCTACGCTGTCTCTTATCTAACTATTCCCTTGGCAGTGTCTCTACCCAGTCTCCCAAGGTCTTTTCCATACACCGTTACACAACCGGACAAAACATTGTGGTAATCTTCTGGTTTTGTAAGGTGAATTTGGGCAGGGACTTGGAGGCGCTACTTTTCTGTTATGGCTCCAGGCTCCTCCATTTTGGAATTGATTCCCTCTCAAGACCCAAATTAGCGCCCTCATTATAGGCATTCCAAATATGAAAAATGTTCCCAAAGGCATGGGAGGACTGAGGAGTGATTGTCTCATTTATTATTCATTCTTGTTTTGGCTAATTTGGTTTTGTATCACTATAGTTTGCATTTTATAGATTTATGAATGCAAGCTGCCAAGAATCTGTGTAGTTTATGACAGCATATCGTTACATTAAATCAGGGTGTCTAACCTTAGTAATTTTTTAGACTTGTCGACTTCAACTCCCAGAATTCTGGCTGGCTGGGGAATTCTGGGAGTTGAAGTCCACAGGTCTTAAAGTTGCCAAGGTTGGACACCCCTGTATTAAATAAATGTTTAAGTCTGAAAAGAAAAATGCAAAAATAAGAAGTGGGAAAAGAGAAGAGGAGAAAACAGACCTGACACCAGTTCTTAAAGTTATACTATAATCAAGTGATGGAAAGTTTCAGCAACATAGCAAGGTGGATTTGGACACATCTTGACAGTGCATTTGATAAAATGTTCATTTTTCACTGTTATGCAAAGTCACACCATGGCTTATTTCCTTTGGGCTTTGCAGTTGTATGACGTTAGCATCGGTGGGTCAGTGGTTAATGGTTTGTTTATTTGTTAAATGTCGCCACTGAGAGCGACATCAATGTTTTGCATTTGGGCCGACCCAATCACTGGCAGCTTATTCCATAAAACGTTGATGAAGCAAATTGTGTCACATGGTCCAAAGTGTGAAGCCCATCACAGGCAGTGATTTTATAGCAGAAGGAGTGGAGGGGGAAGGGTGTGTGGTTTCTCAGTTGGTGACGAAAATGCCCGTGTCTGCTGTTTACTCACTGCAACACGCTTGAGCAATTGTAGCTGAGTTCTCCACCCATTTCTGAGTGGCCGAAAACAGCACAATACTGGTATGACATTGTCTCTCTGTGCTGCTGATCCCCCTCCTGCCCCTATTCTTTCTCTCCCTAGTCATTATAGCCCCCTCCCTAATCTTAAAAAAACATAGAAACATAGAATGTAGTGCTGGAAGGGACCTTGAAGATCTTCTAGTCCACATCCCCCTGCTTAAGGCAGAAGTCCACCCATCTTCACCCAGCTGTCTAGGGATTTCTGGGAGTTGAAGTCCACCCATCTTAATGTGGCTAATGTTGAGAAACACTGATGTCATGTTTGCCCATGTGACTATAATGTCCTATGCATCATCAAAGCCCCCTGCCTTTAAACAAAACAAAATAATTTAGAATACAGTAATAACAGTATTCTGTTCATGTATACAAAGTCCGGATTTGCACAATACCCTGGACCACAAACTTGCCAATTACTTTTAGAAAAGGCTGTTGTGCATATCTAGTCCAAGTGATTATTTAATGGTTCTGCATGTCATGAAAACCCACAAATTGCTTAACGAATGAAGCATTGTTTCATGTTAAAGGTGAAATGCAAACCAAAGGTTTCCAGGAAGGCCAACTAAAAATTTCTTCCTTATTCTGGTACATCAAAACAGAAGTCTTGGGCTGAATGCTGGGATTTCAATTGATACAGCATTTGGGATGAGTTCACACAACTAAATAAACAAGAAAAAAGTGAAGGAAATGATTGGTCCATTAGTGGGGGGAAATGGCAAGAAGGTGACAAGCAACAGGGAGAAAGCAGAACTATTTAACTGGTTTTTTGCATCTGTCTTTATACAAAGGGAAAAAACAGACCAACCTACCAAAAATAGTGCCATAAAAAACAGAATAGAAACGCAAGTTAAGATAGGCAAGAAAACGGTAAGTGAGCACCTGTCCAGCCTAGATGAGTTCAAATCACCAGGACCAGATGGATTATACCCCAGGGTTCTCAAGGAACTGGCAAATGTGATCTCAGAACCATTGAACTACATTTTTCAAAGATCCTGGAGCACTGGGGAACTACCGGAGGACTGGAAAAGAGCTAATGTAGTTCCCATCTTCAAAAAAGGAAAAAAAAATGGACCCAGGAAATTACAGACCTATCAGCCTGACCTTATGTACATATGTACATAAACTATATATATAGTCAATACATGATGGAGTTGCATATGGAAAGTCTCTGGGGATTTCCTTAATACCGTGGTGGCGAACCTATGGCACGTGTGCCACAGGTGGCACACAGAGCCCTCTCTGTGGGCACATGTGCCATCACCTCAGTCCTAGGCCTTCAGCTGGGTTTTATAAAATCTTTTCGCTTTAGGCCTCCGCCGTCGTGTGCAAAAAAAAAAGGTTCAATCAATCAATTTCAACTTCTCGCGGGGAAAAAAAAGATCTCGCAAAGTTGGGATTAATTGAACTTTTTAGTCCCACCCCAGTCTGTCGTTACCACTGTAGCCATGCCCACCCAATGGGCCACACCCACCCAATGGACCACGCCCACCTGGCATCCGACGATACATAAGTGGGTTTTGGGTTGCAGTTTGGGCACTCGGTTTCTAAAAGGTTCGCCATCACTGCCCTAATATGTGCTCAAAGGGCACTGTTCCACAATATGCCACACGGTCTGCTTTGAAGCACTGCAGCTACATTTCAAAGGAGAGAGCTTTTCCCATTTATGGAGGAGGTGCTTAGCACACCTGCCATGTTGAGTACTAATTCTATCTGCAGTACTGGGAGTTAATTGTTTGTTGCAGTGATCCATTCCTTTGGTTTACTTCCCTCCTTCCTCTTTTCCTCATGCTAATATAGCCAGTCCTCAACTTACAACCATTCATTTAGTGACCATTTGAAGTTACAACAGCATTGAAAAAAGGGACTTATGGCCGTTTTTCGCACATATGACCATTGCAGCATCCCTATGGCCACGAGATCAAAATTTAGACACTTGGCAGCCGGCATATATTTATGATATTTGCACTGTCCTGGGGTCATGTGATTACCATTTGAGCCGTGGTGGCGCAGTGGTTAGAATGCAGTATTGCAGGCTAATTCTGCCGACTGCCAGCAGTTTGATTCTCACCGGCTGAAGTTTGACTCAGCCTTCCATCCTTCCGAGGTCGGTAAAATGAGGACCAGATTGTTGGGGGGGGCAATATGCTGACTTTGTAAACTGCTTAGAGCAGACATGTCAAACACAAGGCCCGGGGGCTGGATGCGGCCCGCGAAGTAGTTTCATGTGGCCCGCGAAGCCATCCTGGAAACAGTGAGGGAACAGCCCCCTCTGCCTTGGCCCTGGCCCAGGCCAGCCGGGAGCCAATGTACAATTTTGTGGTGGCCATTTTGGCACTTGCCCCGGTGGACCATGCCTTGGCACTTGCCCCGGTCCCACCCCCTTCTGCCAGAGACCCTCAGATCTGTCCCACTCCTGCCCAGGCCCCCACAGGCACCCTTGACGTGAACGATGTAGAGCTGGCCACACCCACCCAGTAGGCCACACCCACTCCATCCATGCCCACCCAATAGACCGCACCCACCCTGGCCACACCCACCCGGCACCCCCTGAGGGCAACCGCAATGCTGATGCGGCCCTCAATGAAATTGAGTTTGATACCCCTGGCTTAAGAGAGTTCTGTAAAGCACTATGAAGCGGTATATAAATCTAAGTGCTATTGCTATTGCTTTTTGTGACCTCCCCAGCCAGCTTCTGACAAGCAAAGTCAATGGGGGAAACCATATTCATTTAAAGACTCCATAATTCACTGAAGAACTGCAGCGATTTGCTTAACAACTATAGCGAAAAGGTCATAAAATGAGGCGCAACTTACTTAACAACTGCCTCACTTAGCAACAGGAATTTTGGGCTCAGTTGGAGTTGTAAGTCAAAAACTACCTGTAAATTTGGAATAAAATAAGTCATGATGTAACTCTGGTATAGTTGCATAATGATTGCCTTTGTTGCTTTATTGGTATGTACACATATAGCCTTCCACATCAATAAAATGCATGTACCAAATACATATTTGCAATCCCTGCTTGGTTGCATTTTCAAAGAGAACCTTGATGCAATCCTTAATGATATGTCAGGTATGAAAGACCAGGACCACACATGAAGATCCAATTAAACTGATGTATTGCTAGTTACGCCTCTGCACAGACGTTTTTGCAACTAATAGCTCCTGCCTGGAGTTAGATAAGAGTCCATGGAATTCAAGGGAGGTTGTGGCTACGTAGGGATTCTAGGTTGATTCCTCTTTTGACTCCACCCCTAGGTTCTGCCACGCCTTCACTTATACCACTTTAACTCTCTCAATAATCAAAATGGTTTTGATTCTTCTCCCAGGAGCTTCCACGCCGAGATGGCCTGGATGCATCGACTTCCAGCCTGGTGGATTTTTCTTCATCAGCCAGCGCAGCTACTCTGAAGCGACCCACAAGTCTCAGCCGCCATGCCAGTGCAGCAGGATTCCCTCTGTCCCCTGCTATTCCCAGAGGTCTTGCCAAACCTCACAAGCCCCACAGTACCTATAGTCCCAATGAAATCAGCGAAGGGAGCCTAACAGAACCAGAGGATATTTCACAACTGCTTGCTGACGTGGCTTGTTTTGCAGAGCGCCTGGAGAAGCTGAAGGATGTTGTATTGCAGGAGGGTGAGTAATATTGCACGCGCGTGTAAAAAAATACCATGAGTTAGGGACCAAGCTCATGACTTGACACTCCATGAGGGTCTGAGAGCTGCTGCTATAACTTTTAGTTAATTTGTACTTTGCTTCCTCCCAACACGTACATTTTGTTGCCAATGCACCCAACAGCCTTGTCCAAATTGGTGTCTTCCAGATTTGGCATTTCACTCCCAGAATTTCCAGCAATGGTAACAGAAAGTCCCTATATTTTTATGTATTTGTATCCTGCCTTTATTATTTTTATAAATAACTCAAGGCAGCGGGTATACCTAAATACTCTTTCCTATTTTCCCTATAACATCAACTGTGTGAAGTGAGTTGGGCTAGTTGTCATCTAGCCATCTTTCATGCCTAAGGCAGGACTAGAACTCACAATCTCCTGGCTTCTAGCCTGTTGCCTTAACCACTCGACAACACTGGCTCTCATGCAGGGGGCAGGTTGGGAAAACCTAGTCTACAATGATTAAACACTGTAAAAAAAATAACCATACTTACATAAACCAAAGCTCTTTGAGATTCTCAATCATTTTTAAGAACATAAAGTGGTCCTGAGACCAAAAAGTTTGAGAACCGCTTAGTAAACTATGATTAAATATAAGGGCATTGTGCAAACATAGGTTAAAAAAATTGTGATACACTGATATGCTTAGATTACACAAAGGTTGGAGGGGCTGTAGTGTTTCTTCAATAGTGGGATGAGAAATTAATGGAGTGGAGAGAGAGAGTGGAGAGACTGAAATTGTAGAAAATTTTATTGATGCATCATATTCTGTACAAAATGGAGAGTTTAAACAAGGGTGCACAAGGATATACAGTAGTTCCATAGACTTATCTATAATAATTGCAATAACTTGGCTGATGTTCTGTAATGATCCCTACTTTGCAAGGGACGTTCGAAAAGTTTGCCCCTTGCCTAAACTATTTCTAAGGCACTTGTAGTACACCACAAGACTTTACGTACTGCTTTTACAAGCAGTCTAATTCATTGAGTGCAGAGCTTCTACCTTATAAAAATTCTGCCTTTCATATTGGGGTGGAAGACCTGGGAATATTGTTTCACGAGAAAAGCCTTTATGATGGATGACATCAGCTGATTTCACAATGGTTTGCTTAGCCATGCTCCCAAATTGGTTGACATGTCAAAGAAGGCAGAAGGATGGGAAAATGCCATTTCCTGCCTTTTCTGCCTTTTCATTTGTCTGCTTTTCCTGTTTACAGGATGCTGTGACAGCTGGCAGCGCCCTGATAAATCTTCCAGGGGTGCACCAGGCTTGGGTTATTCTGTGCTTCTCTCCTTAGACTTTGTGGAGACAAAGTCTAGACTGAAACGATAGCCAAACACTAGCAAAGAGAAGGGAGTGGCAAGGAGCAGAGCCATGGATTAGGTTAATAATCGTGGATTAAATTAACCATAGCCAACTGTATTGCGCAAACCAGCTGTAGGCCTTAGTCTAATATTCAATTACCCAGTTTTGGGTGCTTCAGACCACCCTCTTTGCATTCAACTCAAACATATACTTCCTCAAAGTTGTATGGATGGAAGAGTGCAAAATGCTTTTGCAAGTTTAAAGCAGAAGCAGGGTGTATTGTAAAACCCTCCCCTCTTTACCCTATCATCCCTAGAGCACTTTTTTAAAATTGCATTTTTAGAAATATGTTTTGTTTCTTATAATGAGGGGAGGAGAGGAGAGGAGAGAAATCGAGGTGGTAGAATAGAGGGAGAGGAAAGAAGGAAGGAAGAGAGGGAGGGAGGGAGGGAGGGAGGAAGGAAGGAAGGAAGGAAGGAAGGAAGGAAGGAAGGAAGGAAGGAAGGAAGGAAGGAAGGAAGGAAGGAAGGAAGATCTTACAATTCTCACCCACCTCAGCCTGTAAGGCCACCATCAGGATATTGTGGGAGGTTCAGTCCAAAATATTGGGTGGACACAGAACAAAGTATGGGCAGTCCTCAACTTATGATAACAATTGGGACCAGAATTTCTGTTACAAAGCAAGGTGGTTGCTAAGTGAGTGATGCCTGATTTTATGACTTTTTTTTTGTAAAACGGATCACTGTAGTTGTGAAGTGAAACATGTGGTCATTAAGTCAATCCAGCTTCCGCCATCTGACTTTGATCGTTGGAAGCTGGCTAGGAATGTTGCTAATGGCGATCACATGACTTTAGGACAGTGTTTCTCAACCTTGGCAACTTGAAGACGTATGGACTTCAACTCCCAGAATTCCCCAGCCAGCTGTGCTGGGGAATTCTGGCTGGGGAATTCTGGGAATTGAAGTCCATACCTCTTCAAGTTGCCAAGGTTGAGAAACACTGCTTAGGACATTACGGCCTTTGTAAATATGTGCCCGAATTTTGATCCTCTGACCTTCGGAAAAAGCTGTGATAGTCATAAGTGGAAGGATGGATTGTAAGTCATCAGTGCTGTTTTCTCAGTGCTGTTGTCGCTTCAAGCAGTCACTAAACGAATGATTGTAAGTCGAGGACTACCTGTACTTATTTCTTATTTGGAACTGAGATTTCTAAGGCTGCTTAACTCAACATCTCCCAACCTGGACATGCCCTCCAAATGTGTGGAGTTCTACTTCCAGAACCTTCTGGCAACTGTCCTTGATGAGGGCTGATAAAATTAAAAAGGGAACATTTTTCATTTTTACTTCTCTATCCCTGTCACTACTGGTTTATTTGCCACCTCCTTGAAGAAGAATTCTGGGAAGCTTTCATGATCTTTTGTGGCGCTGAGTTGCTCTCGTTACTTCCGTGGACATGTTATCATTTGTCAACAGGGCCACCTGCACTTTTTCTGGCACAAGAAATGTGCTGGATTCATATGTTGCACTAGGTCTGGGCTGAACAAACTTAAGAGCAGGGATGCAATTGTCCAAAGTCCCTGGTGTCAATTGTCCAAATTTCCATCCTATCAGGAGATATATAAAACCGACAGGGTGTACAGTATGCCTTAATCAAAGTTACTATCATTTTCAAACACCAGCACCTTCCTTCCTGTAACTTTATTTTGTCTCAAAGAGTCCTTTAAAAGATGGACTGAGATACAGGTAGTCCTCGACTTACAACAGTTCATTTAGTAACCATTCAAAGTTACAACGGCACTAAAAAAAGTGACTTATGACCATTTTTCAGACTTACGACTGTTGCAGCATCTCCATGGTCACATGATCAAAATTCAGATGCTTGGCAACTGATTCATATTTATGACGGTTGCTGTATCCCGAGGTCATGTGATCACCTTTTGCAATCTTCTTACAAGCAAAGACAATGGGGAAGCCAGATTCACTTAACAACCGTGTTACTAACTCAACAACTGTAGTGATTCACTTAACAACTGTGACAAGAAAGGTTGTAAAATGGGGCAAAATTCAGTTAAAAATGTTTCGCTTAGCAGCAGAGGTTTTGGGCTCAATTGTGGTTGCAAGTTGAGGATTACCGGCATTAATAACCAATGTCTCGGAAAAGATGCATAGCTCTCATCTTCCTCAGAGTACACAAGCCCCACAACCACGTCAAAGTAGTGCCTCATTGGGAGATTATGATGATGATGATGATGATGATGATGATTCAAATTCTTTTTTTAAAAAAAAGAATTACATCTAGAAGGCTACCAAGAACCACTAAGAGTGTTAAAAGGGATTACCAAGGTGCAGCCAAGGCCATTATTATCTGCACTGCTTGCAGCTTTCAGATGGTCTTCAAGAGTAGCCCCATGTACAGTACTTTGTAGAAATCCAACTGGGAGATAAACAAGGCAGGAGTGACTATTTAGAGCAGGGCTTTTCAACCAGTGGTACGGGTACCACCTGTGGTACATTGGCACTGGCAGGTGGTACGTGAACATCCTAGAAAAGTGGTAGCGGGGGAGGGGAATGAGCTGAACCGGTGGCAGCACCGCACAAGCCTGAGCGAGAGATAGCTGGAGCTGCAGGGCTGTCAGGGCTCAGCGGAAGCGCCAGGATCAGCACCAGGCTCCAGTTGGACCTCAGCGCTGATCCTGGTGCTTCTGCTGAGCCCAGAAGAAGCACCGATCAGCTGGAATGTTGCAGCATCTCCAGGGTCTTGTGATTTACATTCAGATGCTTGGCAACTGCTTCATATTTATGACGGTCACAGTGTCCCAGGGTCATGTGAAGTGACCAAAACCTGCTGCAACCACCCAGCAGACGGGGGGAATAAAAACCAAACATCCCCCCACCCCACCCCCGCTGCCAATCCTCAACAGAAATGCTCACAACAATGAAAACCATGGATAGGAGGAAAAGCGCCGCCGGGCGGGCAGGCAGGCAGGTGTCTTGCTCGGCTGTGCCTTGGGGGACACTTTTTTCAGTGCCATTGTAACTTCGAACAGTCACTAAGCGAACTGTTGTAAGTCGAGGACTACCTGTACTTTATCACTTTTTTCCTTTTTTTTTTTTTTTTGGTCCTCAAGTTTTTGACACCTTGCTAGGCGACTGGTGGTACTCGGATGTTGCCGTATCCTGAAAGTGGTACAATGGGTGAAAAGGTTGAAAAGCCCTGATTTAGAGGACTCTCAATTCAGAAACAGGTGCAACTGGCATACAAGATGGAGTTCTGCAAAGGCCCTCCTGGACACCGCTGCCCCCTGCTGTTCAAGAAGAGTTGTGATTCACAGGTGGGGTAATGCAGCCCCAATCAGAACCAAAGTTGGAAATTCTCTGGATCTGTATCTTAAGGGGCCCAGACATTCAGACAATCTTGCTCAGGTTGAGTTGAAATCTATTCTTCCCCATCCAGAACCATCCCAGTTTTCAGACAATGATAGAGCATTGAAACAGCATTCCTGGGCCAGCCAGGGACAGAGATGAACAGTTGAGTATCATCAGGATATTGATGGTACTTAATCTCATGCTGAAAGATAAATTCATCCAGTGGCACTTGTGTAGTAAATAGAGAATGATGCTCTGAGGAACTCCAAAAAGCAGGGGCTGAGGGTTTGGTATTTTTGTCTACCTATAGGCAGGCATGTCAAACTCGCGATGTCACGTGACGTTGCACGACATATCGGGACTTTTCCCCCATTGCCGGTAATGGGGTGGGCGCAGTTTCGGCATGACGCATCCAGTCCACAGGCCAGCAGTTTGACATGCCTGACCTATAGTGTCCTTCCCAAGGACCTGGGATAGACAGATATTTGTTTGATGGAGTTAAAGGTACTATTGCAGGATGTCAGCTGTTCCAAGTAAAGCTGCCTTTTGCAACTGACTGATGGAGATTTTGTCAATGCCAGTGGTGTTCAAGGGGTGCTCCAGATTTTTGGGATTGCAGCCAAGGCACCTATGATTATTGGTACTAACTTTGCTTTCTTTTGCCATAGTTGTTCTGCTTCTATTGGTAGGTCTTTGTATTTTGTGATTTTCTCCAGTTCTTTCTCTTTTATTCTGTTCCCCCAAGGTTCTGTAACATCCACTATCCAGAATTTTTTGCCTTTTATATCGACAGTTATTTTATTATTACAGTTGGTCTCGCAGTCAGTCAGTTGTATTATCAAAGCCCTGTGTCTTCTCTTATTTTTTTTTTTCTTTTTGCAGATGGCCTAGAATCTCGAAGGTCACTTGCCCACGAATGTCTTGGAGAAGCCTTAAGAATTCTTCGGCAAGTCATTAACAAATACCCGCTGCTCAACACCTTGGAGACCTTGACAGCAGCCGGGACCCTCATCTCCAGGGTCAAAGGTCAGTGAGGGGATGTTCTGATCAGGAACTTAGCTTGGTCTTGATTTGATCTCACGATTAGCCTCTTAGGAGTGTGCTCTTTAAAGCATGACTAGTAAGAATGTTCAAAGCAGTGTTTTTCAAACTTGGCAACTTTAAAATGAATGGATTTAAGTCCCAGAATTCCTCAGCCAGCTGAAATCTACACATTTTAAGGTTGCCAAGTTTGAAAAACACTTAACTTCAGTATCCCACTCCTTTTGCTTTAGGGCACTAGAGAGAGCAAGTAACATTATATGTGTCATGATGTTATCCTGTAAATGATGTGAATTATATCATCTGCACAATATGACTGGTGCAAATTACGCTATTTGCATCATCTGTCCATGGAGGTCAGGATGCTCATGATGTCAACATGGCGTACTTCAGATAATCTGTGAGTCCAGCGTTATGAATATATGCAGGCTTCACAACTGTCCTGAGCGAGCTATATGTGGTTTGTTTGGTTTTGATTTAATATAATGTGTGAATCCAGATGTTGTGGCTTATAAACCACAGCTTGTGGCCTAATGTACACGCAGATGCAATAAATTATGGCCTAGTTAATAAATCATTAAATGTTAGCACATTTTGTGAACCAAATTAATAACTTCCAGAATAAATGTTCCCTTAGTATTATAGTGTGTGTACCATAAACTGTTGAGTAGAGATGTTAGTACATTTTTGTTTGGTCTGCTTTTTAATTCACTCTTCCTGAACAATACATTTATTTTTCTACAAGTAGCGCTCAGCTTATGAGTACAACTGAGCTCAAAATTTCCATTGCTAAATAAGGCAGTTGTTAAGTGAGCCATACTCTATTTTATGATCTTTTTTGCCATGATTGTTAAGTGAATCAGTACAGTTAAGTGAATCTAGCAAAACTGGCTTCCCCCATTGACTTTGCTAGTCAGATGCTCTCTAGAAAGGTTGCAAATGACAATCCCAGGACCCCAGGATATGGGGTAGGGGCGGGGGGGTGGCGGTCGTTATAAGGGAGAATTTATGTCCAAGGGAGACCACTGTGCCTCAGATAGACGGTGTTGAGTCCCTTCTTGTGAAGTGGGGGCAAGGGGTGCAAGTGGGCTTGTTGATAATATACCTGGCCCCCTGCTATGTGTCAACGGCCCTGCCTGAGCTAGCTGACGTGATAGCCGCGGT